TTACTTTCTGGAAAATGAAGTTATAGCAGTAATGAGACCTCTTAATGGAAGAGCATTTTAAAGTAGCTAGTAAATGTTTCTTAATTCTCTTGCCCTGTTTTTTTGAGGAGAGAGTCTTGCCTGGGGTATATATTACCTTACAGCTTCAAAAATCTATAACAGCACTTTTGTAAGCATGGGCAAGAGTGAGGGGTTTTTTCTTCCCTTTTTCAAGGTAAATTCTGGTTGCAATTTGCACCATGCATAACAGATCAGACTATGCTGCTGTATGAAATCAGTAATGTTTTCCCCCCAACTCTAATGGGATGTGTCAGAATAAACCTTGATTTTTCATTATGTCTCGATTGCAGCACTTGAACGTGGCCCGCTGGCATTTTCCGGGCTGCCAGCCAAAATGTACGTCTGCAGTTAGAAGACAAATGTGTCATCTACGTGTCTGTAGCACAAAGGGTTAATACGCTCATCCACTTGGATCATGTCCTCCTTGTAAGCCTCCCAGAGCACTTGTAAAATTCAAATGGGGCTAAAATAAAAGAAGCAAAAGACGTGATGTCCATGTACAAACACCCATGATAAGAAGAAGGATGTTGAGTAAAACTCCTGGTGTATTTCCATGCTCACATGTCAGGGCCTTTTCTCTGTGCAATTGGCCGTGGGTCCCAAAGACCCTGATCTGAAGCCCAATGAAGTGAACTGATGCCTATCAGCTTTAATAGATTTGGGATCTGGCCTGTGGGGAGAAAAGCAGTTCTCAGCTTGTAAACACGTGGCTTGGAATTACATTCACAAAGGGTCCAGCAACAGCAACCTCTGCCAAACTGACCATGTGTAAAGGTGGCAAGTGGGGTGGGTCACCAACAGGGCTTTTGTCACTGAAACACTCTTCTTCAGAGGAATCAAACCCCAAAGTCTCTTGGCTCCAAGGAATCTTTTCATTCATTTGATGGAGTTTGGCTTCGGGCTCGGGAGATTGCAGCATGGCAGTGATGTGTGTAAGTGACCCCAGAGGGGAAGTGTTCTCACAGCACTTCCTCATCCTCTCCCCTTATTCATGTCACTTGAATAAGATGCAAAATCTTCCTCGGTGCCAAGGAGTTCTTATGTCCTCTCAATGATCACAGAGCTGCCCTTCCGTAGGAAGTGCTGGCTGCTGGATGTGAGGGCTCCCATTATCCACTGGCACTTGGGGAGACATTGCAATGCCTTTACCAGAGGAGGCTGGATTGCAAATCTGGTCAAACTCTCATATGGAGAAAACCAATGGGTGTTTTGCTGTTGACCTCAATAAATTGGGATTTGGCTCCTTCTCCATTTTTAAAGATACACAGAGCTTGGTAGGAAAATTGGATTAAGTGCCTGGTTTTGCTCCTGTTGAAAACAATAACAGGTGGGGCCAGAGGTTTTAGTGGGTTCTGGGTTGGGCAGGTACAACACGGAGGACGGAGGCCCCCTGTTAGGGAATCTCTTCTGCTGTGTGCATGACAGCGGCAGATGGTGGGAGGGGGCAGTTCTGGTTCCCGTATTTTTGTGCTGCTAAGGCACTGTCATTTGGATTGTGAACAGGAGTTGGGTGCCAGGGAGTCAAGTACAGAGCCAGATCAGAAAGCAGGAGCCTGAGGAGGGATGTATGTTCCCAGACAAAAATTAAAGGCAAAGAGAAAAAGGATGTTTTGCTCTAGATTGGCACCCAGGACATCTGGGATCTGTTTACTGCTCTGCCACAGGTTAACTGCTCTGGCTGGGATTTTCAAAGAGGTATAAGAGTCTGGTTCCTCACCACCATTGATTTGGGCATCCAATTCACTTATGTACCTTTGGAAATGTCAGCCTTTTTGCCTCGGTTTCCCCCTTGGAGAAGAGAAGGGGCAGTCAAAATACAGTCCTTGTCTCCTAGGCTTAAACAATGTTTCAGAACATTTATAGAGCTTTCAGTGAAGGAGCGGCATGATTAGCACAATCCCAGGGTTGTAACTGTTAATACGTGTATACAAGATGGGTTGAAATAATGGCAGGAGATATTGTTGTGGGGCAGTTTTACAGCTGTGTTAGCAGATCTCCACACCTACACCAATCTGCATCCATTGCTGGGGGGAGGGTACTTTGCTTTTGCACATAACTCACTGTAATCAATATATGGCCAGTCTCTCGCATGATATGCTTGGCAGAGCAAGCCATTCATTTGTGCTTTAAAGACTCTCATGATGCACATTGGCGCTAGACAGCTTGATGAGCAATAAGCTTTTGTTATTAATGTCAAAAGATACAAATGGAAAATTTAAATTATTACCTGTAACAGGACTTTGGAGAACCTCCTTGAAACACAGACCAGCCCACATTGTGGTTGCAGCCATCAGAAACAAAAGGACATTGATGGGGTGTGATCCAAGAGAGGCCGACCTGCACTAGGGGGTATTCTCGATAGGCAAGCAAAGCATGTACACTGCATGCCTTGGAAAACAGAGCATCTTTTGGAGAGCTAGTGCCAGGCAACTTGAATCTGTGAGGTAGTCATGGGTCTGACTTTGCACAGCCATATTCCTTTGTGTTGATGAAGATTTTTAATAAACTGTAAATGTTGCAGAGTAACACAACAGTGCACACATGCACACACAGGCTCCCCCACAAAAGCCTTGCCTTAGAGACAGCCTCCAGAAGGGCTGCTTTTAATGCCATTCAAAAGGCTAAAATGAGAGAGAAAAATAAATGGTAAGACTGAAATCAGGTGGAGCTGATGAAGTTGGTCCAGATCTTATGTTTCGCATAAAACAATCTGCACCGTGCAGCATGGTTCTGCTCTGGAAGTGACTGAAGCAGTGGTGCTTTCACTCAGACGATGATGTGTGTTGAGCACATGTATTAATTAACACCATTTAATGCACCCTGCAATGTTCCATCAGCAGAAGCGCACAGGTCTGCACGCTCTGGCAGCTTGGGGTGTGGGCTGCTGACAGCTGTCAGACCTTCCTCCAGCAAGCCAACTTAGTTTTTGCAAGGCTTTAGTGCCTAGCACAAGTGAGGACCTTGCTGTTCTTCAAAAATGAACTGCCAGTCATGACCCACAAACAGCACTTGCTCTTTCTTAATCATCTTTGATTTATCCTGTGTAACAATCAAGAGAGAATTTCACTTTTCATTTGGAAAAAAAAACAATTGTCCTCCTGTTCTCTCTTCCTGCAGCAAAGTCATGGGACCCATAGTCCTTGTGATGCTCTTTGAGTCCAAATTCACTTGGCAGCTGCTCTATTTGCCTTGTGTCATCCCATCGTCTGGCTATGTGCATGTGGAGGGAAGGACCTATTAGACCTCCTGTGTATGGCGGTGTTGGGCTGGGCACCCGTTTCTTTTGTAAAGGGATTTTCCCTCCAACACCAGACAGTGTCTCTTCCTGTAATTCTTTCTTTCTGACAACATACGTGAGTAATCAGCTGGCAACATAATTCCATGCGATTCACTTCCTCGTGACATTATTTTGCTTCCTCTGGCTCACCTGCCTTGTGGGTGAATAGCAGTGTGTTTGTCACCGCCATCCAGATCGCATTAGTGACACAGCTGAAAGAGAAATACCATTGGATAATTGCAGCCTCCCAGTAAAATGCTGTGTTGTATAACATGTGCCAAGGGGGGTTCACACGTTTTAGGCAGCCAGGCTGTAACATGCTGGTTGCTCTAAAATAATGTGGCCTGTTATTACCTTTTCCACCACAGCTCAATACACAGAGAGCAGTCATTGGTATTTAATGGGAAGTGAGGAATTTGGCAGCACCTACTAAGTTTCTACATTTGTCTCAGGCTCTCAGATGAGAGGGATGGAAAGAAACACACATTGATTTTTTTTTTTTTCTAGCCACAAACGAGCAAATACAACAGCAGTTGAGAGTCCTGAGCCCAGTGCCTTGGCATTTGCTCATGTAAAGCCACCTACTCCCTAGTGTGAGAGATCTTTTAAGGGAAGTGTTGGAAGAAAAGAAAAAAACAAAACAGTGCCAGGACCATCACAGGCAAAGTAGTTGAACTGGAAGCAGGTGAATTTACTTCCTTGTATTGACCATTGAACCATTGCCCTTTCTTTTGCATCAGTATAGTTCAGGGTGACTGCTGACATTAAGGGGTTACACTGTAATAGGCAGACAGTTATATCCAGGCTTCTGACCGGGATCCACAGTTTAACTCCAGGGATTTTTGTCTGAGGCATAGTGAATCTAGAACAAGTGTCATACAGCCTGGTGATATTAAGGTTTGGTAACCCACTCCTGGGCAGCAGTGCATCTACACTGAAGGTTTACATTGGCATAGCAACACCTCTTTGATGTACCACGTGCTGGGTAATAATGTGAGAGGACAAGAAGGTAAAATGATACTGGCTCTTTATTAAGAGAACTATTTACAGTAGTGGTTTTCACTGTGGGGCACGATACCTGTGGGGGCGTGAAGCAATACTGGGGGGGTGCAGCACAGAGAGGCGCGGGCAAGAAGTTTGCAAGGAGCTGGCACTGCTGCAGCCATGTGGGGGTGGGGAGCCCCAGGCCGGCTCCCCCAGCAGGCTGCTGCGCCTCTGGGAGCCCGATGCAGTGGGTGCACAGCCCAGAGCTGCAGGAGGCGATGGTGCCGTGGCAGATGGAGCCCACCCCGCTGAACCGAGTTGAGCCGAGCCACAGCGGCTGCTAGGATGAGGGGCATGCTGTGCCTGGCTGCGCTGCTCCTCTGGGGCAAGGGGGGGTGGGCGCAAACAAAATTGTAACTCAAAGTGGGGCTCAGCTCAAAAAGCTTGAAAACTGCTGGTTTACAGAGATGCTGCAGCTGCGGGCAGCCTTCAAGCCATGTGCACACAAGACTGGCTCACCAAATCAAGCCCCAGCAGCTTGTGCCATTCCTCCAAGTTCTGTGTATCCTTTGTGTGGACTGGCCTTCTCTTTCCTCACCTGCCAAGGCTTGTTTGTGCCTCTCTGGAGTAGTAGGATAGACAGGTAACACACTGAGCATCTGCTTTTGTTTCTCACCAGGCTGTGAAGAGCTGCTGAAGGATGTGCTGTCGGTTGACAATCCTGGGCCTCAGCAGTATGAGCCGCAGTATGTGGATTACTACTACCAGGTAGGAGATTCGCTGCCTCAGTCTCATGCGGGTGGGCTGAAAACTCACCAAACGAGTTGTAGAAAGACCACAGCATGTTCTTTCGCTCTGTACCTGCCCTGTTCCCTTTTCCTTAGGGAATTCATGGCTGTGACTGTTTTTCATATGACTTTTGTGAAGCTTGGGACCTAGCAGCCCATGTCCAACGTATCTCTGTATTTGGAGTAAAGTGTTTGAAACCTCATTTAGCATTGTTCTTATAGTCAAACAGGGGTTTCCAGCCTCGCCCTCCTTTAGCCACTGGAGAGCGCTGTATATAAGGTTAGCTGACACTGGATACAAGCCTCTTGCATGCTTAGGTATTCATGCAGTTTTAGGAAAGCGCTTGGTTAAATCAGTGCAGATTGTGTGCAGACAAGCTCTTGGAGCTGCTGGGCTAGGGCTTATCGGCTCTTGGGACATGGCTGCTTTTGTAGTGTTCCGGGTGGAGCATTGTGTTTGTTGGCAGGGCCAGACTGCCTAGGTGCAAAGGGTTGTGTAACACCATACAGGTCCTGAGCATCCTTAGCTCTATGGACAGCCTCTGATTTCCAGCATGTGCAAAAAATGATGTTGAAGCTCCTGCCAGGGACCAAGCAGGAGAGTGACAGGTGAGTGTTAAAGATGAGGCAATGAGGAAGATATTATCCTTTTGCGTCCTGTGGCCGGCTCTGCAAACCCTTTCCAGAGCAAGTCCTTCCACTGATGCAGTTACTTGAGTTCGTAGAGATCATGTGGGTTCATGGCTGGAAAATACCTGGTTCTGCTTCAGTTGCAGATAGTCACCAGGTTTGTGCCTTGGTGGGTTTGTGAGAGCAGTTACCGGGACCTTCAGTTCAGCTCGGTAGTGTTTGCTTATCCCTGAGAAAATATTTGCTTTGAAGTGCACTAGGCCTGATATTCCTTTACCTTGCACTGCTCTGGCAGTGACATAGCTTAAAGTATGGGTATTTTATGCTCAGAGCTACATTGAGCCCTCATTATTCTGCCTCAATCATGCAAATGAGAATTTGCCTTGCAGCTTTTGTGCGTGGACTATTATTCTTAATCCCATGGCCCACGTTCATTTGTTTATGCTTGAATGCAGAGGAAGCTTTTCAACTGCAGCATCCTGGGAACTATCTCGCATGTTGGCTGTGCTTTGCCACAATCTCGCTCACCATTTTGCACAACTATCTCCGCTAACATCTGTCATGTTATGTCCATGTAGAATGGGTATAATGCACTCGTGAATTTTGCTCATAGTATGTAATGTGCTGCTAGATGGTTGAATGCAAGAGACAAAGAAAAAGGCACCAGGGTTGTGTAAGCTACAGGTACTAGGAATATTGGGAAAAAATAGGCCAGATATTTTGTACCTGAGGTGTTCTTCCTTCTGTGGATAAAGAAAGTGAGCAAATCAAACATTATGGGAAGAAAAGCTGTTGCTGTTCTTACTTGCCATGTGAAATAAATGGTGAATTAATCAAAGGGAATATGTGTTGTCTTGAAAATAAGATACATAAGTAAAGTCCTGGCCGCTCGTGGATGGCACTTTGCATGAGTCAGGATATTGGCATCACTGTCTAATTTGTGCTGTTGCATTTTCGTAAGCAATCCAGTCTGTTCCACCCTTTCTCTCCTATTCCTCCATCTGCCTCACTTCCCTTCTGAGAAACTGTTCTGCAGCGATGCTGGTACAGAAGGTCTGCTGAGGTCCTGCCAAGAGGCATCTGCATTTTGGATGCAGCAAGATTGTCGTTACGTGGCGGTGCCCTCACTCTGATGTCGGTAATGGATACCTCAGCCTTACTCATACCAGAATTAGTCATATCATCTGGTGTCTCCACAAGGGCCATGCGACGGGGGAACATGGGAGATTATAAAGGCAGTCTGTGGTCCTTCAGAGGCGGCTCTGGGAGAGAAAAGCAGGGTGTGAATGCCCTCTTACAGAGCAGGAGCCTAGCCAAGGGAAGAACCAGTGAGGAAGCTCAGACCGGGTCCATAGATAAGGCCCCAGGAAGGAAAGACTGGGCTGCATGGGTACGAGGGCAGAGAAGCCAGTGTTTTAGAGTTTAGGTGCTGGCACTCGCATAGAAGTGGCTGTGGGCTTCCCTATTCTGCTACTTTGCAAGGTGGAACAGCTGCTCCCGTGTACAGGGGACGAAGGGACTGTGTGCAGCCCAACAGGGATGGAAGCCAAGCCCAGGAGTAGGGAAGACCCTACAGGAAGGGCTGTGCCAGGTAAGGGTTCAGGTAAAAAATGGGGGGTTGTGCGTCTGTTTGGGTTTTGATTAAATTTAGAAGGCAAAGTTGCCTCAGTGACTAGATTTGTGTCGGAGCTGGAGAGAGTAGTTAACCTTTGGGGGCAAGCTGAGGCAGTGGCCTGGAAAGTCCACCAAGAGTGTCCCTGTCACAGCAGCAATAAAAAGCATGTGTTACCGCTCGCAGAGCCCTCTGCCTCCTCCCCACCCTATTCCTTTCCTGTCTCATGGCTTCTTCCCACTTGATAAATTGCTCAGCATTTAAATGGTGATTTGAAGACCTATAAAAAGTCTTGAGGCTTAATAACAGTCCTGCCATCCTGCTTTATGAGGCAGTAATTTTGGAACTTTCCCCGGGATAAATGACCTTCAGCCTCAAATTTTATTTGCATTGGGGTTTGACAGTTGCATTGTATCCATGTGACAGGACAATTCCATTTTAGATGGCAACAAATTTACGACAGCATTGAGGATTGCGTGCCTGTCCAGGGTAGCCATACTGGAAGCTGTTGGTACACAGAAGGCTCAGCTGGGTTTACCTGCGTCTCCTCTGACTGCAGCATTCTCATTCAGCCTGCATTTGAGACAGAAGTCTCTTCCTAGTGTGATCCACCAGTGGTAGCAACTGTGGGTGCAAAGGAGCCAGTGACTTTTTAGTCCCATATCTTTGGGACCTGCTCCGAGCAGGTGGTAAAAAGCCAAAGGCCTAATATGCTTCTGCTGTCATTCTGCCTCTGGGAGCTGCAACAGTGCTGAATTAGAAGCCAGAAATGTACTTGCATGCACGCACCCTGGAATAAACTGTGCAAAAGCCTCAATTATATTTAAACAAAAGTGATTGGTTGTACTCTGCGTTTTGACCCCTGGGGCCTAATTTAGCAATGCCCTGAATTCCCAGAAAGGGTCAAACCCAAGATCCTTCTAACTCAGTCTCCTGTCTGTCATCAGCCCCCTGGGGATTGTGGGGCTGCTTTCCTGTTCCTGGTGCAATCCCATCTCCGGGCAGAGTATCACTGGACAGTGTCCACTGACTACTTGAACTCATTCAAGGCCCAGTGTCTGGTGTGCTCTGTCTGCTACCCCCTTGGCACACTAGTTTTAAACCTTTAACCTTCAATCTCCATCCCTGTTTTGTTATCATTTGTCCTGAGCAGTTAGTTTCCACTTTCCCAGTAGCCTTCCTTTCTGAGCGGGGCTTATAGTTTCACTTGGTGGACTTTTCACCTGTGAACCCCTGAAGTTGCAAACAGGCCTGTGTGTCATCAGCCATTGCCAGATGTGTCGGATGAAGGAGTAAGTCCCTGTAGGCAGATGGAGATATTCATCCTGTCCCCTGATATACAAGTTGACTTAAACCCTGCAGCCTGAGATTTTTTTTTTTTATTGTGCTCAAATCTCTTCTTTTTTCCATATTTACCATGTAGAAGATATTGTGGCTAGGCAAGAACTTGGCCAGTTTCAGCAACATCCTGTGGCAATGAGTTCTTTCATTTTATTGTGCACTGTGCGGAGGAAGAATATTTCTGGATACATTACCTTGCTCTTCTGCTTTGAGACAGGAATAAGAGAAGTTCCTGGCATACCTTTTGTGTGTACCGCTATCATGTAGACTTGTCATGTTCTCTCTTACTTACCTCCTTTCTCAAGTACAGTCCCAGCCCTTCATTTGTGAGTTCTTCCAGGCCTGTTATTCTTCTTCTTGTCTTTCTCCAAGCCCCTCTCATTCTACAATATTCTTTTTTGAAGTAGGGTGGCCAGGACTGGTAGAGTGAAGACTGCAGCTGGTTGATGACCCCTGGCGGGTTTAGGATTAAGGCTAATCTGGGTTATACTCATGGTAGAGACCAGTAGGTCGCTCTGAGTTGGGGTTAGAGTCTGTTCCTGTGGGAAGCATGGAGCAAGAGTTAGGGCTGCAAGCTATCAGAAGTGCTAGGTGAAGGTTCAGCTTGAAGCAGGTCCCTGGCTAAAGTAAGAGATGCAGATATTAAACAGTCCCAAACTAGGATTAGGGGTAGGGATGATAGGATGCCTCTAGGTAGGCTTGGGACTGGAACAGGCTCTGGGATAGGGCTCGGGCTGGAGCTATTAAGCAGTTCAAATCAGGGCTAGTCTGGAGGTGGCTCTGGCCTGCAGTTAGCGTGCAGGATGGTACTGGCATCCACCCCCTTCCCCCAACTCCGACTAAAGGTGCAGCCTTTAAGTAGGCTAGCATGAGGGTGGGAGCCAGTTGGTGAGCCCAGCTGAGAGGCAGGTTGGAGCCAGCAGCAGGCCCTCTGCCAGGATTGGGGCTTGGTAAGGGGTCCATGTTTAGGGAGAAAGCCGGAACCAGTAGGAGGCTCTTGGGAGCACAACTCAGAATCTCGCTCTGGGGGTCTCTTCACTGCTTGTAGGGTTTTTTAATCGGTTCTCATGTTTGCAGGAAGCCAGAGCTCTCTGTGCTTCCCTCCCAGGTGTTAATGCACATTGCTTCTGCCAAGAAGGTTCCCTGCACTCTTCCTTTCTAAAGCAATAATGAACCTCCCCAGGCAGGGTGACATGCGCTTGTTTCTTCTGTTTAATAACCTGGGAGGAGGAGTTGACCTGCAACGAGGTTTCCCTTGGTGCTTTCAAATAATAGCCCAGACTGCTGCCTTGCCCAGAGAATGCAAAGATACTGTAGGGCCCCAGAGCCAAGCAAACCCTGGGTTACACCCCTTTTGTGCGCCTTGCCTGTGCAAGAGGAAACCCTGTCATTGCTGC